ACTGTTTCCCTCTCTAGCACAGAAGCGAAGTACAAAGCAATCTTCGATTCCTGTAAGGAAGGCCTTTGGCTTCGGCATGTTCTCTCGGTGTGGAACTACTCTTGGGATGAATAGAGCTTGAGAGGGATGAGTGCTTTATTGGGCTGCCTCTCTGATAACAAGAAAAAATAAGAGTATGGACTCTTAAGGAAAGGTGTGGCTTTGGAGATTTCTTGAGGATGGTATGTCTAATATGTCTTATGTTTACTAGTCTAAATATACTTGTTCACAAATCAAGGTATCCCAAATGTTGATGGGCAAATACCTGGCTAATAGTGGGTGATCAGTTATCTGAATTGCTGGGGCAGGATCTGATGAAGGGTGATCAGTTATCTGGCTTACTGGGACAGGATCTGATGAAGGGTGATCAGTTATCTGGCTTACTGGGACAGGATCTGATGAGGAACAAATGAAGAGGAAAAACAAAGCTCCTTATATACAAAATTCTGGGGAGTGGCCAGCTTGTGGTTGGAAGATAAATGGAAAATTCTATGAAGAGTATGAAACAAGGGAAAATATTTATCCAGAGAAAACAGGGGAAACAAGTAGTGAGAAAATGCTCCCAAGGTTACTAGTATGAAACAACTAAGGAGTGGAATATTCCATGGAAGAAAATAGGAGGAGATAACAGTTTCATGGACAAGGGGATTGTTAATAGTGTGAGACACAAGGAGTAAGAAGAATAGAATATGTTTGGAGGGGAATGAGTTTCAGGGCTGTGGAGTTTCTGCTGGGAAATATTATTATCCATGTGGTCTGTGCTTGAGGGGATTCATGAGTGGTGTTTGGATTTGTTTGAGGGTCTGAGGAGCTTTGTGGGGTGTCTTGATCTTGTGATTCCTCTGTGATTTGTACTCTTGATGTGCTTGGATCTTCAGGAGTGGCTTACCACATCGGAACTACGGCTTCGTCCTGGCACAGCCATTCCCATTCATGTCAACAACGAAGGAGCAGAAGCACTAGCTAAGAATCCAGAACATCACGCCCGTACCAAACATATTCATTCTTGGTATCACTTTGTCAAGGAGTGTCTAGCGGATGACGAGATAACTCTCCTTCATGTCTCAACAAAGGAAATGCTTGCCGACATGCTAACTAAGCCTCTCCCTCGAGTCATGCTGGAAAGACATCATCAAATGTTTGGATTAGTGTCTTAAATGTTCTTTTTGTCTCTTCCTTTCTTTCTTTTTTTCATTTCATTTCTTTCTTCAGGTGTTCAGCATGGGGGGGGGTGTTGGAGTATTCTTTCAGTCTCTCCTGTTTTCTTTTTTTTTTCTTTCCTTGTGCTTCTCACCTTTCATCCGAGTTTCACTCACATGTCACAGAATCTATAGCTTACCTGGGCCAGAGCACGTGGAAGGATTCCTTTCCTCATCCTTCCACAAACATCTCACTTTGACCCAGTCTAACAGTTTTCACTCCTCACTTTCTTCTCATTCCCCTTTCTTCATTCTCGACTTGGGATTGTCTGCTCATATGACCTCCGATCTTTGTCTGTTTGTTCATCTGACTCTCAAAGAGGACGGAATCGTCAGAACAAGCTCGGGATCAGAATCGCTGAAGATGAAGGGAAATGTTCTATCAAATTGGTGAACGAACATGGTGAATTTATTCTCGACAATGTTTTATTTGTACCAGGCATAGTAGTAAATCTCCAGTCTGTTTGATGTCTTGTCCTCAACAACTTTAATGTCCACTTCAATAAAAATGATTTCACTATTTTTAAAAATAATTGACTTGCCATGAAAGGAAGATATCTTGGCAATCTTCCAAGCCTTGAGTTCCACAATCACCGATCGATGTTGACTACAAGCAAACATCTCCATAAATCTATAGGACATGTCAACTATCATCGCCTGCAACACAAACTCGGCATTCCTGTCAAAGCTGCTACCGTGTGTGAAGCATGCGCTGTGTCTAAGATCACCAAGGCCTTGTTTCATGAGCAACGATCCACTACCACCAAGCCCTTTGAAGAAATTCATCTGGACTTGGGTTGGTCCTATAAGCCCTTTGTCGAGAGAGGGACATAGATTTTTCATGACAGGGGTAAATTCCTTCTCTAGATTCTGTTCCGCCATCCCATTGAAAAGGAAGAGCAATGCTTCTGAGCTTTTAATCCAAGCGCTGTGGTAATTATTCCTGTGTTTCTACGCCAAAAATGTAAAAATTTATTATTATCTTTCTAAATATTGAAGATAGGGTAAAAATAACATCAAAAATGGATTCCTGAGGTAAAATAACCCCTAGTCACTCACTACAACTACCCTCTTATCTCTACTAGTTCAGAAGTTACACTTATCTCAAGCTGTCACAGGAGCTTTTCTTTATTATTATTCTGACCACACCTCATTTTGAATACTGGATGCATATTTCATATTGAATTCCTTTGTATCATATTGAATTCCTTTACTGGCTTATATTTCATATTGAATTCCTTTGTAGGTGCACATGCATTCCTTTGTAGTAGGACCTTGTAGGCTAGCCAAAATCCCTCAAGGCTGTGCTCTCACCAGCCAAATTCCCTCACCTGCATGTACTAGACTAGCTAAATTCCCTCATTGGATTTTCAGGCCAGCTAAATTCCCTCAGCTGCATGTACCCTGGAGCTAAAATCCCTCACTTTTGTCTATATAAGGAGGCCTCTGCCTGCCAGTTGTACCTTTCATCATCCCACCAGTGGACCAGATCATCTCAACCACCCTTACAATCACCACCCATTATATTACAAGTCACAGTTATATAACCACCCTTATTTTATCGCAATATATTCATAACAATTTCATATCATCATCATCATACCAAGTGCCTAGTCCCCTGTTCCATTTCTTGGTTGAAGCATAGTGCTCTCAGCGCTCAGCGCCTTGGGTTCCAAATCACTTCTTTTTAACTTTATATACCCTCAACCTCAAGGACCTGCGTTCAAGCCTCAACCCCGACAACAATCATTGACACCTCTATCAACAACTTCATCAACAACAACATCATCATCAACAATCACCATCAACACCTTTAACCGTTATACGACTCATTCGACAGCTTCATCTCGAACTATCCTCTATCACGATATATAAACTGCCAAGCTGAGCTTGGTGGTCTTGTTGTTCTGATAGCATAGAAAGGCAGAGCTTGCAACTCCATCATCCCCTTCTCCATTCAGCAAAAGGGTTTTCGCAACCACTTTTGAGTCTTACAAGGGAGTCCCCAAAGTGATAGGATAACTTTCGAGTGACATCGTATAACCGATTCTAAACGAAAGAAGAAGAAATCAACAAAGACATCGACAAAGGATCATTACTTCTAGCGGTAAAACGGAACGAATTCATCAAACAAATTTGGACAACTCAGCGGCATATTCAGTTATTCTGTTGATCAACTAGTCAAACTTCAATAACAATTCAACGACATAAACAACCAACCTCTGAAAAGAAAGCGTAGGAATCAACTGAAACGAGGACTCGAAGAAGACAGCCAGTTATTGACCAGAAGAAGGCAAGAGACCAAAGGATCTGGATAACTAGGATACTGTTTGAAGACAACTCAGGAACTATTCAAAGAAAGCAGCTGGGGTACAGTTCTCATCATCTTGCTTGGATTTTTCAAAAAAAAATTTCTCTTCATTTCAAATTTCTCTTCATTTTCTTTCACCGGGGTGTTCAATAATATCAATCAGGAAGTGCTTGGATATATTGGGAGAGGATACTGAAGAAAACAGCACAATCAAATACTTTGGGAAAACACTGATGAAAATACTAAGGAGATGAATCAACGACTTGCAATCGGATTAGGAGGGTGTACCAGAAAGCGAGGATCAGACCAAACTAAATGCATCGGGAATGTGAAGGCTTGAATATTGGATGCGACTTGGTCAAAACCTCTAGATTTCGCTTGAACCAATGATGTAGCACAAGGACGGTGGCAAGAAGGAAAAAACGGTTTCAATGGCATTTATAGGCAACCAACGACCCCAGAAAAGCAATCAAACTCACCGGGAGACTATTCCGCTCAAGTTTCACTATCAATCCTACACAACTACATTCTGCTTCATCAATCTTGGATCTAGACCACAACTGAAACCAAACAACGATCACGGGGAATAAGCGACTAACAATGGAAACAGAAGGAAGGAAGAGGGACGCACTGATGATCTAGAAGAAACCACACTCACCGAGGATAACACTAGCATCGGACGGTATAGTAATAGTAGGAGGAAGGAGGTGAACAGCTTCTAGCAATGATGGTGAATGAAGAGGTGGATGAAGGACAGGAGGAGAGCAGAAAATTGGGGGGTGCTTATAAGCTGCAAATCACCCGTAGTGAGGACGGTCAATCGACTTGGAAAGTGTCAGCTGTCAGTCGATAAGGAAGAAGAAGATCGAATTAGAAGAATATGGAACACTTACCTGAAGCTAAAAGAGAACAAACTCGCCGAGGACGAGTACTAGTGGCGGACAAAGAACGGAGACAGACCCATGCGTGCTGGTGAGACCCATGCGGCTGTCAGATAAGGAAGAGAGAGTGGATCACGCTTACCTGTCAAGATGGATAAACGGGTCGGTCGAGCGGTAGCAAAAGTTCGGAAGGATGGCACAGTCAAACTTGAGATAGAGCAAAACGGGGCGGACGAGTCGTGCCAGAATCGAATCTAGAGGCGGGGAAGTGACCAAATCGAATTCAAGATGGAGTACCGGATAATGAGCGGAGACGTGTGCGCATTCGGGCTGGTTGCAGTGAAGAGGCTGTCAGATAGGATCAAACTAAACTAGAAGAAAAGAAGAAAACAAAGCAGCTCACCTGTTGAGATGGATACACAATGACAGGTCGTTCGAGTCGTGCCAAGTTTGAGTCCAGATGTCAAGTTGGGCCGGAATGAAATCACGAGGCGGGGCAGAGATTAAGTCAAAGTCGAGATTGATTGCCGCTTCGTTCGAGTTGTGGCGCCATTGGCATCAGCTTTCGTAATGGGTTGTTCAAGTTGTGACGCAAGAAAGAGTGGTGGATTGGTCGAATCGTGGCGCAATCCAGATCAAGATGGAATGACGAGATGCGGAGAAGTTGGGAATCGAGTTAAGATTGTGTTGAATCTGAAGCTAGAGGACGACAAGGTCAATGTGTGCTACGGATACGAGTCCATGGCGCAATCGGAAATTGTTATCAAGAAGATGGCGCAAACGAGTCGAGGCATGGATCGTTCAAGACGTGGTGACAAAATCGGAAAAGTGGCGCTGTCGAATTCAAGATACTGTGACGGGTCGACCGAGGAGACTGGAGAGAAGAACCCACGGAGAGGTGGATCTACATAAAGCCGGAGAGAGGGCGCACCCCATCGCCGATCGGACCGAGACCTGTCACACCTGTGACAGGGCTAATACAGACCCGCGTTTGCACAAACAATCAGACTGCCAAACTGACCTTTGACTCAACAGCAACGCTAGTTCATGGGTGGTGTAAGGCCTTGGTGCTTCTGCTCAAGCCCCACAACCAGGCCATGGGTTCAAGCCCCACATTGACCACTATCAAATCATGGCTCTACAGACTCTGGATTGGTGTTTTTGAGCTCTCATCGGTATTTTCAGGCTTAAACTTTTTTCCCTGAGTTTTTTTTCAACTCTATCTACCACTACACAAAAATCAATTTTTGCTGAGGACTCAAGTTCAAACCCATTACTTGATGAAAATAAAATAAAATGAAAACAAAAATAAAATTAAAATAAAAGAAATAAAATGAGGAAAAAGACAAAAAAACATATTTTTTTACTACAATCAAAAAAAAAAAGTTGGACAAATAAACAAGTTCTCCGACTGTAAGATTCATGTACAATACTCGACAAACAGATTCACCACCGGTCAGATCCATAAGTTCTCTGGACGCATGCTTTGTCAAAACTCAGGAACACAAATTCATCATCAACTCAACACCCCTCAAGCCAATCAGACACTCGCAAGGCCAGGCTATTTCAAATTCTTCTGTAGATATAACTCCGAAACACAGTCGAAGTCAGAATTGACTGGGGACAGTCAATAAGTTGGGGGAGGATGTGGTAATTATTCCTGTGTTTCTACGCCAAAAATGTAAAAATTTATTATTATCTTTCTAAATATTGAAGATAGGGTAAAAATAACATCAAAAATGGATTCCTGAGGTAAAATAACCCCTAGTCACTCACTACAACTACCCTCTTATCTCTACTAGTTCAGAAGTTACACTTATCTCAAGCTGTCACAGGAGCTTTTCTTTATTATTATTCTGACCACACCTCATTTTGAATACTGGATGCATATTTCATATTGAATTCCTTTGTATCATATTGAATTCCTTTACTGGCTTATATTTCATATTGAATTCCTTTGTAGGTGCACATGCACTCCTTTGTAGTAGGACCTTGTAGGCTAGCCAAAATCCCTCAAGGCTGTGCTCTCACCAGCCAAATTCCCTCACCTGCATGTACTAGACTAGCTAAATTCCCTCATTGGATTTTCAGGCCAGCTAAATTCCCTCAGCTGCATGTACCCTGGAGCTAAAATCCCTCACTTTTGTCTATATAAGGAGGCCTCTGCCTGCCAGTTGTACCTTTCATCATCCCACCAGTGGACCAGATCATCTCAACCACCCTTACAATCACCACCCATTATATTACAAGTCACAGTTATATAACCACCCTTATTTTATCGCAATATATTCATAACACTTTCATATCATCATCATCATACCAAGTGCCTAGTCCCCTGTTCCATTCCTGGTTGAAGCATAGTGCTCCCAGCGCCCAGCGCCTTGGTTCCAAACCACCTCTTTTTAACTTTATATACCCTCAACCTCAAGGACCTGCGTTCAAGCCTCAACCTCGACAACAATCATTGACACCTCTATCAACAACTTCATCAACAACAACATCATCATCAACAATCACCATCAACACCTTTAACCGTTATACGACTCATTCGACAGCTTCATCTCGAACTATCCTCTATCACGATATATAAACTGCCAAGCTGAGCTTGGTGGTCTTGTTGTTCTGATAGCATAGAAGGGCAGAGCTTGCAACTCCATCATCCCCTTCTCCATTCAGCAAAAGGGTTTTCGCAACCACTTTTGAGTCTTACAGCGCTAGAACTAGAAGGGAAACAAATAGGCTATCTACCAACTGTTATTCATTCTGACAGAGTTTCTGAATTTGTGAATCATCAATTGATGGATTACTGCAATGCGCATGCCATAAGAGCACAATATTCTGACGCATATACTCCTCAACAGAATGGTCTTGCCAAACGATACAATCACACCATTTTGGAATCCATGCAAGCAGTTTTTAAGGACTCTGGCTTAAGAAAGAACCTGTGGAATTAAGTTGTAAAGCAACGGTGGGCCAGTTACACTAACATTAGTGTTAGTGCAGCGTAGTGTTAGCTTTTTAAGCTACGCTACACAAAAGTTACCGTTAGCGGGAATTTTTGGCCCACTAACACTACAGGATTTTTGAAAAAAAAAAAAAAAAACTTTAGTGTAGTGTTAGCTACCTTTAAAAAGGCACAACTAACACTACCCAAAATCCTGTTAGTGAAATTTTAGCGGTGTTAGTGGGTGATCCCACTACCCTACATGTTAGTGTAAATTTTTGCAAAGTTACACTAACAGTTAGCGTAGTGGTACCCTCAGTTACACTACACTAACAGTTAGCGTAGTGGTACCCTCAGTTACACTAACTGTTATGGTAACTGATTAAAAGTTACATGACCACATGACTAGCATTAGTCTACCCTGAAGACAGTGCCTGATTGGGGGGCCTACATCCAGATCCCCTCAATTGATCATCATTTTTTTCAGTTGGTAATGGTGGCCACCCAATTTTAGCCCCCTGCCAATTTTTAACACTTACTTGTAAGACCACATTCCCCTGTCAGACTACCTTGAGATTATGGGTTTAATTCCCCCTCAGATCATACTTTACTGGGTTCCATTCCCACACTTGTTCAATTTCCACTTTCACATCATGTAGCAAGGGGGGAGGGGGGTTGAGATGTAACCATGATGTATCACCAGAGTGTGGTGGAGCTGTTGGCATGAACCATGGCAACTACCACCCAACTAACCTTACAACCACAAGGGTCTGTAGCCTAGTTGGTAAATGAAGCACTCTGGTATGTGACTCAGCATTGCTGAGGTTGTGAGTTCAAATCTCACCAGGCACATCCTCCGTTTGTTTGTCTCTGCATCTTGTGCTGTTCATTTTCTGCGGGATTGTGTGATCATAGGACATTGAAAATTGTCACTATGGACCTCGGCCGTATCAGTTATATGGACAGTTCACACAACTTGCCCATTGAAAACAGAAAGCAGAGGAAGAGGGTTCAAGAGCATAAATTCTCACTTGACATGTCAATTTCTCTAATTGATGATTTACACTGCACTACATGTGTAGTGTAACTTCTACTGTAGCATAGCGTAACTAGGCATGTAGTGTAGTGTAGCGTAGCTTAATTTGGTAAAAGTTACACTAAATGTTAGCTTTAAATCAGTTACACTATCTGACAGTCAAAATTTTGTTAGTGCAAAAATAGTTACACTAACTGTTAGTTGAGCTGAGATTATTTGAAGCTAACACTACCAAACAATTTGAGAGAAAGATTTACACTACACTAACAGTTAGCGTAGTGGGGTTTAGAGTCAGCTAACACTACAGAATTTCCAGGAAATAAAAAGGCCACTACACTAACAGTTAGTGGTCAAATAGTGTAGTGTAGCGGCCCACTGTTGCATAAAGGCTAGCACTCTTGTTCTAAATCAGATCCCTTCTCATCAATCAAAAAAATCTCCTTACGAAATCTTCAAGGATCGCGATCTGCCTCTCAATTTTTTCAAACCTCTAGGAATTAGACTGTCATATCTCATTCAACCAGAAAGCCTGGGTCAAAACTTCTTCCCAAAGGTGAAATAGGAAAATTGATTGGTTATAATGATGAACTACATCCCTACCGGATTCTCTCCAACAATGGGAAACTGATTGAAACAAAAAGCGTGCAATTTTTGGACTACACTCCTTCTCCAGATCAAAATGAAGACTCAGACGATATCCTTATACTGGAAGAAGATTCAGACATCCATGATACAACTGTTCAAGCAACAGACCAGGTAGAATCATCAGACAACCAGACTTCTGTGATTTATTTTTCTGATTCCATCTCTATCGCCTTGTCTGAACCCGCTGAATTGTCCAATGACGACAACAACGATGTTGAATCCTCTCTTGTCCCACAGCCTCAAACTCTGCGTGATTGAACTCAGAAAGTCAAACCTGTTAAATACTCCTATATGACTGGTGATCCTACTTCATTCAAAATGGTGATGAAGTCAGAGAATCATGTTGAATGGGAAAAAGCAGCCGACAAAGAACTCAATAACATCAAAGATCATGATGTAAGGGACAATTTCTTTGATCAAACTTTGTCATTCTTGAGGACACTGTGGATCTTCAAAACGAAGCCGTCGACCCTCTCTTCTGCAGAAAGAAAGAAAGTGCGCCTGTGCATTCAGGGTTTCATGAAAATACCCAGCCAAGATTTTGGAGAAACCTTTGCTCCGACTGGGAAATTCACCTCCCTTCTCATACTCCTTACTTTTGCCATTGACAACAAACTCTCCATTCGACAATTTGACGTGAAAAGCGCATTCCCGTTTGCTCCTCTGGAAGAAGAAATCTACATAAAAACTCCAGAAGGTTCTAAGAGAAAGGCTCCGTACCTAAGACTCAAAAAATGTCTTTACGGTCTGAAACGATCTCCCATGAACTGTTACAATACTCTCATCTTGTGGTTTAATGAAATCAACTTTCAACAATCAGCTGCCGATCCATGCGTCTTCATCAATGAAAAACAGAAATCTTATCTGTTCTTTCACGTTGACGATCTTGTAGTGGTAGGCAATGTTGACTCCTTTGAATCCCTCTTCCTGAAAAGATTCCCAAACTCCTTGGCACACAATCCCAACACTCTCCTTGGTATGGATCTGACTCAAGATGACAACTCTGTGAAGCTTTCTCAAAGGAAACTCATTGAAAAAGGTCTGGAACTCGCAGGCATACGTGAATGCAGACCGGTAAAAACCCCACTCTCTGTCGGCATTCAACTTCAACCAGCAACTCAGGCAGAAATTGATGAATTCCAGAAACTCAAGATAAACTATTGATCACACACCGGCATGCTGAACTACCTCTCGTGTAGAACTCGTCCTGATTTGGCTCCTGCAGTATATATTCTTTCAAGCTTCAAAAACTCCCCTGGGATACAACACTGGCGGCAAATTATTCACTGCTGGAAATACCTAGCCGGAACCATTGATCTCTCTAAGAGACTGTGATGAGGGACAGCTTAGTATAAGCGACAAAGAACCGGAAAGAAGAAAAGATAAAATATCTTTTAAGAGAGACAACTGCGAGTCGACCAGAATTCTGAGACGAAGAATAAGATCGAATAAATTCATCAGAATCATAAAAGAGAACAACCAATATGATGACAGTACTTACACCTGTGATGAGGGACAGCTTAGGATAAGCGACGAAGAACCGGAAAGAAGAAAAGATAAAATATCTTTTAAGAGAGACA